CTTACTGCCTTTTATTGCCGTTTGTAACCGCACCCTTAATTAGTTAATTACAAGCAGTTTGGTGCTTAAAGCTACAAGTTACAAACACCCAAACCTTGGTTTATATATTTATTCACCCAAACTTAGTTGGTGTATCAATGTTATACCCAACATTTCCTTCACCTGCATCAAGAGGCTCTTTTCATTCCTCTGCATATCTGAGGTTGTTGATATTTCTCCCAGCAATCTTAATTCCAACTTTTGATTCATTTAGCTCCACCTTTCTCATTATGTTCTCTGCATATAAGTTAAATAGGCAGGGTGACAGCATATCATCTTGCTGAACTCCTTTCCCAATTTTGAACCAATCACTGGTTCCATGTCCAGTTCTCACTGTTGCTTCTTGACCTGCATATACGTTTCTCAGGAGACAAATAATGATATTCCCATCTCTTTAAGGACTTGCCTCAATTTGTTGTTATCCACACAATCAAAGGCTTTAGCATAGTCAATGGAGCAGAAGTAGATGTTTTTCTGGAATTCCCTAGCTTTCTCCGTGATCCAGCATACTTTGGCAATTTGATCTCTAGTTCCTCTGCCTCTTCAAAATCCTGCCTGCACTTCTGGGAGTTCTCAATCCACATACTGCTGGAGCCTAGCTTGTAGGATTTTGAGCATAACTTTGCTAGCATGTGAAATGAGTGCAATGATGTGGTAATTTGAACATTCTTTGGCATTGCCCTCCTTTGGAATTGGAATGTAAACCACTGTTGAGTTTTCCATATTTGCTGGCAAATTGAGTGTAGCACTTTTACTGCATCGCCTTTTAAGATTTTGAATAGTTCAGCTGGAATATTGTCACCTCCACTAGCTTTGCTTGTGTTCAGATTTCCTAAGATCCATTTGACTTCAGATTCTATGGTTGTCAGTGATGTTAAACTCGTTCTTGTATAGTTCTTCTGTGTAATTTGCCACCTCTTCTTAATCTCTTCTGCCTCTATTAGGTCCCTGCCATTTTGGTCTTTTATCATGCCCATCTTTGCATGAAACGTTTCTTTCATATCTCCAATTTTCCTAAAGAAATCTCTGGTTTTCCCTATTCTATTGTTTTCTTCTATTTCTTTGTACTGTTCATTTAAGAAGGCATTCTTATCACTTCTAGATATTCTCTGAAATTCTGCATTCAATTGAGTGTATCTTTCTCTTTCTCCCTTGCCTTTCCCTTCCCTTCTTTCCTCAGCTATTTGCAAAGTTTCCTCAGACAGTAATTTTGCTTCCTTGCATTTCTTTTTCTTTGAGATGGTTTTAGTTGCTACCTCTTGTACAATGTTGCAAACCTACATCCATAATTCTTCAGGCACTCGTCTGTTGGATATAATTTCTTAAATCTATTTGTCACCTCTACTGTATAATTATCAAGGGTATGATTTAGTTCATACTTGAGTGGCCCAGTGCTTTTCCCTACTTTCTTCAATTTAAACCTAAATGTTGCAATGAGAAGGTCATGATCTGAGCCACAGTCAGCTCCTGGTCTTGTTTTTACTGACTGTATAAAGCTTCTCCATATTGGCTGCAAAATACATAGTCAATCTGATTTCTGTGTTGACCATCTGGTGGTGTCCATGTGTAGAATCATCTCTTGGGTTGTTGGAAGAGAGTTTGCCATGACCATCATATTCTCTTGATAAAATTCTGTCAGCCTGTGCCCTGCTTCATTTTGTACTCCAAGGTCAAACTTACTTATTATTCCAATTATCTTTTGGCTTCCTAATTTAGCATTTCCAATCCCCCATGACGATAAATAAGGACATCATTTTTGGTGTTAATTCTTTAAAGTGCTGTAGTAAATTTCCTACTCAACCCCTATGTAAAAATGTTTTTTTTCCCCACCATAATTTACATTTATATTCCTTTTTCACAATCTTCCTTTCTTAACTTTTTAATTCCAACTTTTATCCAGCCAGAGGTGTAATGCTCTTTTCCCCTCTTCATTTCTCAATTAATGAGCCTCCTTATGAGGTAAAATTTTGTGAATATCCAGAGGTTTCAGCTTTTCCTCCATTTTGGAACTCTTTTTCTTTTTGTTCAGGGTCTCCAAGACAGTCAGGGAACCATTGACAGGGATCTTTTCTCCTACTCCCAAGCCCATCATCCCCGCCCTCTCATTTCCCTTCAGACAGACTCCTCTTTCCCGTCCTTTCTACAATCCTGGCACTTTGCGTCAAATCCACCAGGAGGCTCCTCCTGCCAAGGTAAGGAACACCAGGTGCTCCCAACTGGTCCGCCGGAGGGCGAACGTCACAGCTGGCTTTCCAGAGGAGGCTGCAAAGGAAGTGTGATTACAAAAGCTTGCCTCTCTATGACACCTCGCTCTCCTTAACCCCTGGGGCTCCGCAGGAGATGCTGCTGGAGAGTCTGACGTGGGGGAGATACAGATGTTTCCCGGATGAGCAGGGGGCTCTTCCCGGGCAAGGGAGGTGGAGGAAGGAGAGACCCTCCTACGGCTTCCATCCTGGGTCCCATGCTCCACAGGTGCCTTCTCCCTGCAAGGGGAAGTGGAAGAAACAGGATGCCAGGAAGGCAGCAGGGATCCGGGGATCCCTTCTTGCCCGTGTCTGGGGAAGAGCCCGAGTAGGGGGAGAGGAAGGTCGGTTTTGTGGAGGCCCAGCAAGAGAAGAGAGGAGAGAAGCCGGGGGTGGGGGGGAGGAGGCAGGTTTTGATCCTGTCTCCGGAAGGGGAGAGAAGCGGGGCGACCTCTCCAGCTGCCTCCTTCTCGGCTCTGCTCGGAGGGGACCTGGGCCCTGCACTGGGATGACCCATTTGGGGCTCCATGCAGGTTGGGTGAATAAATTCTACTTTCTAATTCTTGGCGTTGATTTTTTTTTCTATTTCAGATACCGAAACTCGAAGCCATTTCAAATCTTTGCAAGGCAAAACAATTTTCTTGGGGGAGGAAAAAGAGCAGAATAACTTGCAGAGATCAGTCCTGAGGCACTAGAAATAATCTTGTGAAGGAAAAGGCATCTGGAGATCCACAAGAGTCCTTGGACCCATTTGGAGTTGCTCTACAGGAAAGAGAAAGGATGGAGACACAACCTTTTGCAAAAGAGGGAAGCAGAAAAGGCCCTTCAGCTGTTCAGCCTGGGAAGGGTGGGAAGCTCCGGACAAGAACTGGGCAGGAGATACTGGAAAAGGAAACTATTCTCCCTTCAGAAGTCCAGCCCTGTAGCTTCAGGAGCCTGCAATACCAGGAGGCTGAGGGTCCCCGAGGACTTTGCAGCCGACTCCATAACTTATGTAGGCAATGGCTGAAACCAGAAAAGCACACCAAAGCTCAGATGCTGGACCTGGTTATTCTGGAGCAATTCCTGGCTATCCTACCTCCAGAGATGGGGGGCTGGGTGCGGGAGTGTGGAGCAGAGACCAGCTCCCAGGCGGTGGCCCTGGCTGAAGGCTTCCTCCTGTGTCAGGTGAAGGAACAGAATGAGCAGGTTCAGTTGCAGGTGAGAGACTTTAGGGAGCTCAAAAGGGAATAGAAAATGTGTTTGAATATTTCACCCCTTATTTCCAACCTTCTCTGACATTCATAATATGTGGCGATGTTCCATGAATTCTTGTACAACATTGTTCCATTGTTTTCTCACTCAACCATAGGGTTGGATATTGGGGGCTTTGAGGTTGTTTTCCGAATATAAGAATCCACTTTATTTCGTGTTATGTACATTAATTTTGCTTCTTCCTTCCTTCCTCCTATTTGAAGGGCTGCACTGTCGAGATCAGAAATCCTGAGGGAAAGAAGAACCCATCAAATCCCCCGCAGGAGCTATATTTCAGGAGGATCCCTTGGAAAGACCAAAGCCAGGACCCCTCAGGAGGTAATGGAAGATCCTCTGAGTCCCCATCTGTTTTACCTTCGATCTCTCTTCTTGTCTATAGAATACCTCCTCCTATTTTGTTAAATATGCATTTTGAAATTATTTATTCTTTACAGGGAGAAAAAGAATACAGCTTTCTGGTTTTTCTGACAGAGATAAAACAGTGGCTGAATCTCCAAATCAAGTAAGAAAGGGAAAAGTTATATTTGTATTCTTCCCTCAGGAAGTGAACAGCTGCAATGCTCTCTCCTATTTCCCCCCTTGTTTGTACTGGGTTACTTTTGTGTTCTTCTACAACATGGAGAGCAGAATAGTTGATTCAAGTTGCTGTTGACTAGCACAGCTTCCTCTTGTTATCTTGCTCTACTAAGTTCTCATCCAACTTTGAGTTTACAACAAGCAAGTTTTAAAAAGTCCTTCAAGAAATAGGAATAAACGTATCACAGTGGCAGGAACTTCTAGAGACCCAATTCTTTTTGTAATTCTTTTACTTTAATTGTGCAAGGCTAATGAAAAATAACCAAATACTCACATGGCCACATTACGATTTTTAAAAACCCTTTATTTATAACCAGTAGTTCAAAAAATCATCAAATGTTAAAAAATAAAACAGACTGTTTCAATCCAAAAAGAATGGCCACTAGAACATGTAATCAAGGTACTTTGGGCTACAAAATAATTTCCAATTCTCTGATTTGTGCCTCGATTAGGAGAGCAAATATTCCCACTTTGAAAAGGCTGAGAAATTACTTTCCCAGGGAATTTTCTCTTCTTTGTTTTCTTCCTTTCGGCCAATGGCTCAGACTACTAGATCAGTCAGTGATAGACAGAGCAATAGATCAGTTGATCCAGAAGTGGGATTACTTTACTGAAAGGCACTGAAAGTTTTGCAGAATCAATCAACCTGATAAGATTCCCCAAATACTTCTTCACTTAAAATATTTATCACCTAAAATGAGGACTTGTGTGATGCACAGCCATTTAACTTGGTACATATCTTTGCTTTGGAAATTTGGGAACAATAGAATAGAATAACAGAGTTGGTAGGGATCTTGGAGATCTTCTAATCCAGCCCGCTGCTCAGACAGGAAGGCCCATAACATTTCAGATAACTAGCTGTATAACTTATTCATAAACAACTCTAGTGTTGGAGCACTCATTATTTCTGAGGCAAGTCATTCACTTCTTTTTTGTGGCAGCCCCTTACGTATTGCAACACTGCTATCATGTCACCCCAGTCCTTCTTTTCATTAAACTAGACATACCTAATTCCAGCAACTATTCTTTATGTTTCAGTGTCCAGTCCACTAATAATTCCTGTTGCTGTCCTCTATACTCTTTCTAGAGTCTCAAGATCTTTTAACATATGGCAACCAAAACTGGGTGCAATATTCCAAGTATGATCTTACCAAGGCATTATAAAGTGGTAGTAACACTTCATGTGACCTTGATTCTACCCCACTCTTAATGCAGTTTATGATTGGGTTGGGGTTATATTTCTGATTCATGTTTAAGTGATTGTCCTCTATGATTCCACAATCCCCATTCCACTTTCTATTGTTAAGCCAGGTATCACTTATTCTATGACCATACATTTGATTTTTCTTTCCTAAATGTATAAACTTACATTTCTCACTGTTGACTTCATTTTGTTACATGTGGCCAAATCTGTGGATCCTTCTATATCTCAAGCTTATCTTCTGGAGTGTTGGTATTCATGTCAATTTGGTCTTGTCTGCAAATTTGATGAGTTCCCCTTTTATCCTGTTGTCTAAATCATTGATGAAGATGAACAGATCTTGAGAATCCTCTTATTTAGTTTACTTTACTTTATTGTCATTGCACCTCTACAATGAAATCAAACACCATCTTCAGTGCATATCATGACCATGACCATGAAAAAAACACAAACACACATCCTTCACCTTTCATACATTGAACCGAAAACCTCTGACACCACACCAACACTGCATTACACAGCAGGATTCAAAAGAGCTACTGCCCTGGGATAGAAACTGTTTTTCAGCCTATTTGTCCTTGTTTTTATTATGTTCTTTTTTCGGTGTTCAGGAGAGTCTTGTGACCTTCGATGAGGTGGCTGTGTATTTCTCTGAGGAGGAATGGTCTCATCTGGATCCTGACCAGAAAGCATTGCATTCAGAAGTCATGCTTGAAAACCATAGGAATGTGGTCTCTCTGGGTAAGAATTTTCTTGTCCCAAATCAGAGAGTTCAAAAAGGCAGATTATAGTTAGTTTTTTATTTTAAAAAAACCACTATTCAGATATTGTCTCCTTGGAGGGAGAACAAAAGGATCTGGCCTTCTCATACTCTAAGGAAGGAAACAGTTGATGTCTCTTTGCTTAGTTGCTTTCTGTGCCTTTTCTTGTGTGTATTTTTCCATTTTTCTTTCAACTTATCTGTGGAGGCTGAAAAGATTAGTGCTTTTATGTATCATTTAGTACTTTATGCCTCTGTTCTCTGCTAACCAAGGCCTGCATGAGATCCAGAGCAACATGCTTTTCAAACAGACAGTAGGCCACTTCGTTTTGAAAGACTTTTGCCCTGGTTCTCATGCAGTCCTCACTTCTTAAAAGAGTACAGCCCTAAAGTACTGCAGTATGAGATCATACAAGATTAGTAGCCTGAGATCTTGCACTACTGCTCTTGTTTACAAGTCAAAGGGAGGCTTCAAATAAGGAATTTAGCTCCAAAATCTCATCACTGATATCAAGGAATAGGCTGAGTGAGGGCCAGACAAATGCCATGGAGCAGCTGCTCCAAGGGACACACAGGAAGAAGGAGCTTTTTTCAAAATTGTTTTAGTTCTCACACATCTGTGCTGAAATTAGCCCACCCCAATAAATCATAAGTTATCTCTTAATTCCTCCTTGGATGTTTCCCTTGATTATTCATTAACTCAAAACAGAGGTGTGTGTGTGTGTGTGTGTTTGTTAAGAAACAGATGTTTTCTAGATATTTTCAAAGCTTTCATGACTCATGAATATAGAAATCATCAAGTCCATATCACACCACTGTATCATTTTCATTTCTCTTTTGCTTTGAAGGTAACAAGGGGCAGGAGAATCAAGATTCCTTTGAACTGTTCCAAGTGATCAATGCTAAAGATGGAATGGAGAAGTTTGGAATTCGAATACAATTAGAAAGCCATGAGAGAAACCAGTCAAATAATTGGAATCAGGATAGTTCATCTTCTACTGATGCTCTGATGCAAGGTTTTATTGCCCAACAAGATAAACCATTTAAATGCATGGAGTGTGGAAAGATCTTTGCTCTGAGCAGTAAACTTACTGTCCACACAAGGATACACACGGGGGAGAAGCCACATAAATGCACGGAGTGCGGAAAGACCTTTGCTCAAAGAGGTAATCTTACTTCCCATAAGATGATTCACACAGGAGAGAAACCATATAAATGCATTGAGTGTGGAAAGACCTTTGCTAAACACAGTTATCTTGCTTCTCATAAAAAGATCCACACAGGAGAAAAGCCATATAAATGCATGGAGTGTGGAAAGACCTTTCCTCTGAGCAGTAGACTTACTATCCACAAAAAGATCCACATGGGGGAAAAGCCATTTAAATGCTTGGAGTGTGGAAAGACATTCGTTCGAAAAGATCATCTTATTTCCCATAAGATGATCCACACAGGGGAAAAGCCGTATAAATGCATACAGTGTGGGAAAACCTTTACTCATAGCAGAGGACTTACTATTCACAAAAAGCTCCACACAGGAGAGAAACCATATAAATGCATGGAGTGTGGAAAGACCTTTGTTCTAAGCAGTAGACTCACTATCCACAAAAAGATCCACACAGGAGAAAAGCCATATAAATGCATTGAGTGTGGAAAGACCTTTGCTCTGAGCAGGAGCCTCACTATCCATAAAAAGATCCACACTGGAGAAAAGCCGTATAAATGCATGGAGTGTGGAAAGACCTTTGCTCTGAACAGTAGACTCACCATCCACAAAAAGATCCACACAGGGGAGAAGCCGTACAAATGCATGGAGTGTGGAAAGACCTTTGCTCAAAGAGGTAATCTTATTTCCCATAAGTTGATCCACACAGGGGAGAAGCCGTATGAATGTACAGAATGTGGAAAGAAATTTGCTCAGCGTGGTTATCTTGCTTCCCATAAAAGAATCCATACAATTGAAAAACCATATGAATGCATGAATTGTGGAAAGACCTTTGCTCAGCGCAGTTACCTTGTTTCCCATAAAAAAATCCACACAGTGGAGAAGCCATATAAATGCATGGAATGTGGAAAGAGCTTTGCTCAGAATCGTAGTCTTACTTCTCATAAAAGGATCCACACTCAGGAGAAACTATATTGTAATAACAATTTCACTTAGACTTATATATAACTCCACAATGCTTTCCGGCAGTCTTAAGAGATTTAGAAAGTTAGCATATTGTCCCCAGCAATCTGGCTCCTCATTTTACCGACCTCAAAAATATGAAAGGCTAAATCAACCATGAGCCAGTCACAAAGAGGAAAGGGTCAAATGTTTTTCCAAAGCCCCAATGGGCAAGATAAGAAACAACGGATGGAAACTAATCAAGGAGTGAAGCAACCTGCAATTTCCTTACAGTGAAGGACAATTAACCAGTGGAAAAGCTTACCTTTAGACATTGTGGGTGGTTCATCACTGGACATTTTTAAGAAGAGACTGTACAGTCACTTGTCTGAAATGATGTAGGATCTGCTTGAGCTGGACTAGAAGAGCTCCAAGCTCTGTTCCAGGTATATTCTGATTTTGATTCTGAATTCTCAATCCTTTTTTTTTTTTGCTAAGTAGGAAGCTTTTAAGTGAACATGAGCATTAGTGGAGTTTAAGGTTATCACTTGGCCTGGAAGTGATGTGTGGCTGCCAGTATTTAAGTGGTGGAGATTCCTTAATCATTTCAAGAAACTCCCTCTGATGAATATATCCACTAGAGCAGAGTTGCAGGCAGAAATGCAATTAGTCTTAAATCCCTTACTATTGTTTCAGCTTTTCTTAACTTTTCTTACTATTGCCACAATCTGCCTTTACACCCTGCTTTACATTATGTAATGCAAGTAATAACTGAGAAAGAAAACCATAAGGACAACGGGGTTGTAGTGATGCTGAATGAAAGAATGCAACTCATAGGCTCTTTGTCCTAACTTTGTGGTGATTTTCCCTTGCCTTCCCTCATCTTGCCCACCTCTGGACTCACACAGTCTTATCAATAATGTTTTTTAAGTCAACAGAAGTCAACAGTATTCTCCAGAAGTCAACAGTATTCCAAATGGTGTTTCACTAAAGCCCTATGTAAGGGATAGGACCTCCTTTTTTGCTAATGGTGATACATCTGGTGATACCTCTCAGAATTTTGTTTGCCTTCACAGCTGCCTGGCCACACTGTTTACTTATTTTGCAGTTATAATTTTTTCAGTGCCATGACAACTTTTTTCACATAATTGTGTAAAAAAATCACTACTTGAACTCATTTATTCAAATGCAGAATAGTTGTAGCATTGTGTCTGTTCTGAGCTTCATCCACACAGGGAGTGTTAAAACAAGTAGTGTCAATTCTCAAAATGACTCTGCCTGAATTCATATTTTTCTTGCTTCTTTTCTTAGTTGCCATACTTATTGAGAAGGGGGGATTTCTGGACTATAGAATGTTTTCTCCAATGTGCCAGACATAAAAAAGATAAGTGTCCCGAGAACAAAGGCCAAATCAGAATGCCCTAGCAACGGTAAGAGGGATTGTTGAGAAGTTCATCATTTGCTTGCAAGAGTAGACCTCTGACATGAGAGGGGGTGGACGTAATGATTATTTACTTATACCAAAAATGCAGGAATTGTTCAGTGTTGGTTTTAACCTTTAACCATGCCCATATGATGTACCCAATAAAGTGGATTTTTAAGGGAGGCAAGGCTTCAGAATCTTGAATTGGTTGGGAGCATTGTTGGGTATATGAATACTCCAACTGGTTTGGGTGAATAAATATATGAACCTAGGTTTAAGTGTTTGCAGCTTTAAGCACAAAAACTGCAATGTAATGTGATAATTAAGGGTGCGGTTGCAAGCAGCAATAAGAGGCAGTGAGATGAACGTAACACTTCCTGGTCTCTGGTTTTCCTGGTTTCCTGGTTTTCCCTGGTTTCTGGTTCCCGGTTTACTTGTTGCTGGTTCCTGGTCTGCTGCTTGCTGTTTATTGTTGTTTGAGACATCTGTTTGTTATTGCTTGTTAGCTACTGTGCTGGATACCGTTTCTACTGAACAAAAGGACTGTTTACTTGGGAAGCTGATATCCTGTGCATACTCAGCGTTGAGAAAGGTATTGGAAGAAGAAGATATTTTCAACAAGCAGATAAAGACATTGTTGACTAGTTAATGGACTAGGTTACTGGA